GCATCTGCCCTTATCTTGGTTTCTTGGAACTGACTCTGAAACCACAAACGTGTCTCAGTGTCGTCTCCCCTCAGTTCAAGCGTTTGAGTGGTCGTTTTACGCCGTGACCGCCTAAAGCGGGTTAATATCGTCACAGAACCACATAACCCTGAAACCTGAGTCTGCCACTTGCCTTCATGAATCATTCATTTTGCATTCACACGGCAAACTCTGAACTCACCATTCTGGCCGCCTCACTCGCCCACCTTGTTTTCATCTTGAAGCGGCCCAAAGCCATTGATCATCCTGAACACAGCGCTGCATATCACGTAGTGTCACGTTTCACTGCAAATAAGAATGATCGTCAACGCGAGCTCAACTGTTAGTCGACGGAGTCTGTTAAGTTTCAGGGTAGCACAGTGTGCAGTAATTTCAACAACAGTACTGCAGTACTGTCATAGATATAAGCATAAAACGCCCTCATGTGTCTCACATCCATTGCGATTTGTGTTGCATAATTGTGCGCGAGAAACTCGCAAGGTTAAACATTTGCAATGCCTTTTAATGGAAACAATGTAATATAACATTTCAGGAAATGGCCCTTCTTCAGAGCAAATATATTGCAGAAAATCTACTTACGTTTGGGGATTACATTAAAACCTTTTAAGAATATTGATGTAAAAATAGATATTAGTTCACACATTCACACTTTATCAATATATTAATTCCATTGAAATGAGAAATAGCATGGGGATGTCACGAGTCTTTCGTAGATATGTACATGATTATATAGTTATTTCAGTATAACACTTAGGCTTTCGCGACCAATATTACTCATAATAAAGGTTTTTGGGTTAGATCGCGCAAGATGAGAGCCTCACCATTCTGGCAAATTGCCCAATGAAGCTGGATGTAATTACCAGCGAAACGTCGTACTACTCAAATTTCAAATGATGTTGATTCACTCTTCAACACACCGGTGGGCTAAAGAAGTGAATTATTTTGTCCTTTGTAAACGTGACACATTTTTTACTGTTTGACCGTGTCGGGTGGTGGAGGGTTACGACACATTTATAAATAACGCGATCTAACCCAAACCCCTTTATTATGAATTATTACAGCATCTTTCACAAATTGGCCTTGGGCTGAAATAGACCGAGGCCAAGAGTGCTGAATTAAATACCACAATTATGAATGTCAGTCGCTGAGTCTCTTATAGTGAGTCAGAATTACTGTGTTAATATTGTACTCAACTCAGGTACGCGGTGTTGTGGTGGATGGCTCAGCTTGCTCATTTAATTCTGGGCAGGAGTTGAAAACGTATTGCCCATTCCTGTACCCCTCTCCCTGGGGGTCACCCTTGAAAAATAGCTATCTAGCTTGATGGACTTTCCCCTGGGATACCAAAAATAAATTATTTGAACTGGAATTTAGCCCATCATCTTTCCAGCATTTATAAAGTTAGTACCACTTGGTAGGAAGGGAATTGTATCATGGATATACTGGTATCTGCCATAGGAATACAGTATGTAATTTCTCTCAACCATTTGAGGTCTGTTATTTCGAAACTTGATCATATGCAATGTCTCAAACGAAATAACTCATTCTGCTTACTCCTCACAAACAGCAGAGGTTGTACATCTAATTTAAACCGAATACAAATTTGTTAAGAGACTGCAACATTGCTCAGGGCCGTTCCTCAGGAGGGTCCTGCTTGGGATATTTAAACATAATATATTTGTGATTTTTGAATGTGGCAATAAATGGAGTACCTGGACAAAATCCCATCCATATGATGGAAGAACACTCAAAACTGAGGAGCAATTTGCTGTATTGTCTCTTTCAAGTACTATATTTTATTTCACACGTGTGTCCAATGCACTTAACCTCTGCATCATGTACTACCATTGACTTCAAGTTCCTGGATTACAGGAATACAAAACCACAAGTGGCTTTGAGGTGCAAACCGTAGAAGAAATTTCAGAGAACTACTTCGAGTGGTATTTTTGTCAGCACATCTTAGTAAACACTGAAGCTGGATCTACTGTAAGGTGCATTGTGTGACTTTTCGATGATGACTCGGTTTTCCTGTGGTGCATTTCTGAATGTGTTCTCGTTTGTGATGCCCCACACAGGAGGATTTTTCCAGAACATTGAAATGAAGTGACCGGCAGGAGCAGCACCACAAAGAGGCCACCATGGCAGAGCGAACAGGCATTGGGAAGTATGTGGTAAGAACTGCCGTGCACCACAGACTACTGTCAACTCTCAGAACAATTGTCACGAACCACCGTGCTCCACCAACATTCTTCAACATGAATTCGAACTCACAGCATCTGCAACAGTTCCAAGGACCACTTCCTACTGCCCTGTGAACCACCAGTCATCCACGGACTCAACGTTGGGAAGCACTGCCGTACAGTTATTGCACACGTTAGTAGGCAGTTTTTTTATGTTTGGGAAAGCCTCAGCGATTTGCTGGAAATCCAACAGGGAGGCATAAAGGATTGAGTGAAACTGCTGGGTTGTGTTGAAAGCATGTGTGGTGGGCTGTGAAAGTGCCGTGTATCGGGCTAACCCTCTTACAGTATGCATGAGCGCCGCTTTCCATCGCTCTGCCTCGCCTGCAGCGTGGACTGCTGAGGCTTTGTTACAGCAGGTGGCTGTGTTTCAGCCATTATACCTTGTCCAGCACAGTTCCAATTCAATTCATTGTGTGGCATTTAACCAAACAAGATCACATTCTTAGATTATCTGTTTTTTCGTGTAAACCTTGAGTATGGGGTGGTTATTAGTATGGATACACTTCAGTTAATGGTATTTTTGTACATTTTAAATGTGGACATATTTTATATATACTTCGTGAGTGAAAAATGTCAAAAGTGTCTCTCTGCTCAAATGGGCAATGGGAATTGCTCTTCTCCGTTGGAGGCCTAGAAGCAGTGGTGGAAAATCTTCAATCCTTTGTCTGGGTCTTCAGAACAACCACTCTTGATGTTCGTACAGCTCATTGTACGGCCTCAGTCAGGTGGAGCTCATTTTACTGGCACCGGAGCAGCAACGAATTAAACAGGACAGGCATTGTAACTGTGCGGGTCCACCAGGGGAATGATCTGGCGCCGATGTATCTGGTCCTTCGGTCCGCTATTCGAATGTACCGTGGAATGAAGGAAGAAAGAACCTGCCCTATGTTCTTCCAAGCCACCACCTGTTTCCATCAGCATTGACTTTGGCTCTGTCCCCCAAGCCACATGGAATGCTGCAAGATCGGTCATTGCGGGGGTCTTGACAACTAATTGCTGGCCATGCACATTAGTGCAAGTAATCGTACTGTCATAGAAGAAATAATGACGATGATGATGATGAAGCGAAGTTGTTCTGGGCCAGGAACTAAACTTGAAATTTCAAAACAGAACTTCAGATCCACTCAGTTACAGCCTGGCTATGTTACATACATAAGTGAAATATCATTGTCAGCCATGATCAATCCACTGCAGAATTAAGTCCTCTTCATGCCGTTGCCATCTGTCGTGGTCCTGCAATGTAACAATATACCTGGCACCTGTGTACGAGCCAATTCCATCGCTTTATATTAGCGGTGGACACCAGTGACATTAATACTGTATAAGTAATTATATACACGATGAAGCTATGTAATCTCTAAGTAATGTATTGTAGTCCCATGCTGTTTTCTTGCCAGACCTTGTACGGCATTAAGAGTGTGGTCGGGATGCCGGCTGGCCTCTCAGGCTGGGCTGGAGTGTCAGCAAGAAGCTGTTGAGTGTTCTGGAGCTTTTGAGTGGCTCACAAGTGCCTTCAAGAATCAGTGTGGCGCTGCTGAGGACGTTTATATTTTGGATTTTGACAAAAGCCGGTGCCGTACTTTTAGCATAACCAGTGGCAGAAGTGGTGAAACTTGAGGTTTACTCCATGCGACAAGCTTGCCAACCAGTTAACAATTAAATATCCACAGCTGCTTGGAAATTGGATACACCAGAACGTATGTCCCATTAAGTCGCACAATGCTGTTCAGACTGTGACTGCGAAAAACTTTCAGTAGCAGCCAGTGTAAGTTTCGGATGTAACATGAGAGAGGAGTGAAACCTGGCAGATGGTTCACGTGTCTCATTAGCCGTCTGTGCATATGCTGCCATCTGCATGTGACAACGTGGCGACACTTTATGCACGTGCAATGGGCTGCACGTACATGTTTTAAAGCACGTATGTAAGATATGGCCCAGAGGCACTTACAGATATATAAGAAGATGAAGATTGCCCATAGCAGGGTGCATGACAAGGATAATCTTCTTGGTTCTTTCGGTAAAGTCACGTAGAAGGGAAGTAATAAAATAATAAAAATAAAACATAATAAAATAATTCTTACGACGTTTCGGCCACAACGCAAGCAACCGTCCTGCTTGCATTGTGGCCGAAACGTCGTAAGAATTAATTTTATTATGTTTTATTTTTATTATTTTATGACTTCCCTTCTACGTGACTTTACCGAAAGAACCAAGAAGATGAATCCCTGCAGTCACGAAAGCTTTAAATCGAAATTTGACAAGGATAATGTTAACATTATATTTGTATGAAGGTACTGAACCAGTGTGGCCGAGGTCCTGGGTCCAAATAATGGGCTCCAACCTTAGATATGACCAAAGCTATTGTTTCAACAAGTTTAATTGAGCCAGACCAATGCAATGTTTCCGTCGCCACTTGCAAGTGAGCTGGTTGGCCCAGAAAGTCATGGGCCATGCCAGCATGTCTCATTTCCTATCCCAATGCTTCACGAATCACAGAGTTTTGTGGACTCATCACCTACCACTCCGTCCACCCTGTCCCCTCACCCTCTATACCCACTGTGGGCAGAGGGAGAAGGGTTACTTTTAAATATAATTTTACACACGCTTGGGTTAGGTAAGGCTACCACCAAATATGTGTTTTGTAATTTTAAGGTGTGCTGCGCATGCTGTCATGCTGTACTATATCACACTGGACTTGCAATCAAGAGGTCGCTCGTTCAATCTTCCGGCACAATCATCAGAATGTTGGCTAAGATCAAGTGTAGTGTCTGTTCTTATCAGTCGAATATCTGATATGTACCACATTGCGGTACCTTACTTCATGCTCTTTTCTTCAAACAAAAATCCAGTTTCATTCCCTTCACCTATTACGGATATCAGAAACAACATCGTTGAACAAATGTAGTGTTTCAAATACTTGGGCTTACTGATTGATTACAAGCTTACATTGCAACCCAATATTGATCACATCTCAAAGAAAATCTAATCAAAAATACGGTTTTTATACAGAAGCTAATTTTTTCCCCATTTTATTGCGCCTGCAAATTGTTGAAACTATCATTCTACCACTTTCTGACGAGTGTGAAACTGCTTACAGATCAGCTCCTCATGAATCACAAACCAGACTATCATTCTGCTCTTCAATTTGCACTGGATGTACCATACAGGACCCACCATTGTGACCTCAACTTAAAATCCAATCTCACGTCACCAGATGCAAGAATAAATCTACAACTGGGCCTTGTTCATCCATAAAATCCTAATTTGCAAATCTGAGCTATACTTACTGTAGCTAATTCATTAACCCCATTGTCGAACCCAATAAACCTAAGACGTCCATCGAATTGCCTTTTACCTATCCCAAGAACAAGAACAGGAATAGGTGACAAAGCCTTTGCCATTGCAGCATCAACGTTTTGGAACGATCTTGTTTTCTCCCTTAACTTAAGAGCCGCATGGCTCACAGGGCTATACCTAATAAATGAACTTGAATATGAACATCGTACATTTTCCTTCAAAACATATCCTGAAGCAGAAGATTAGTGCTGGATACAAATTCGTTTTTAACTTTCATCCTTACCCGTGTATCGATAGTTACATTTTAATGTGCAATTTTATAGAGGAACTGTATGTTGTCTTGGTGTGGTCTGGGACTGTTCTTGATGTTGTTTTGCTGCCTTATCTAAGTGTGGAAATTAGTGTACTTATACGTTTATCTCATTTACGTATTAATTTTTAGTCACTTGCTTTCCTGCCCTATACTGTGCACTCCAATTGTTATTTTTGTAATGTTTGTTGTTGTAACTTTCTGACTCGGCCCTCCTGGACATCTTTGAAAAATAACTTCATAGCTCATCAGTTTCTCCAGGATAAGGGAAGATTTTGATTGACACCAATGGCATTCGACCTCTTGTCCTTATGTTCTTATATCCCTTGTTCAAATTTCCTCATTTAGTAAACAATTGTGCAGTCCTGTAATACCCCACACATAATGGACAGGTTTTTTTGTAGCAATTTTGTACTCCATTGTGTTGAAGAACACACAAATCTATTGAAAAATGTGGAAATCTGCAAAAAATGTCACTGATACTCACAATGACATCTTTGTGTGCACACAAAAAGGTGCTGGAGCATAGATATGGCATAAAATATGGGTCCTGTCTCGTGAAAAGGGTTTTTGCTGCATTCAGCCTCTGTTGACTTTTCCCCATGGCTTTTGTCCCACTGAAAGGTTTTTCCGCTTGTGTGACAGATTTACTCTCTGCACCGATGACCAACAAAAATACACTTGCACGCATCCTTGCTTGAGCCAAGCATTACATACACAAACTTGTATAACATTTTTTCAACATTCAGCCAAAATGAGTGACAAAACTTTTTTCAAGAGGATTTACACGTGAGATGTTTAATATATTTTGTCTATGTTCACACGTGTGACAAAATGACAGTACCTTCAGCAAAGCCATGAATTACCAATTTTTCATTGAGAAATATTGATTACATTTAGGTTAGCTCTTAATCCGTGGATTTGATCGAGATATTTTCTGAGCTAGTCTACGAAAGCAGTCAAATATAGTCAACTTTTTGTGATGAAATAATGTTCCTTGCATGCAAGTGCTCCCCTTCAACGTTATCAAGTCAGCCAAATAGTGAGTTCTGTAACTATTCAAATGTAAATACATATATACACTTGTGATTTTTGGTCTACCTCAATGTACTGTAGTTAATGCACTGCATTTACTAGATTATCTTATATTCTTGGTTCTTTCGGTAAAGTCACATAGAAGGGGAACAATAAAATAATAAAAATAAAAAAACAATAAAATTCTCACGACGTTTCGACTGCAACAGAAATTCATTGTTTTATATTTTTATTATTTTATTGTTTCCCTTCTACGTGACTTTACCAAAAGAACCAAGAATATAGATTATCTTAGTTTACATCGTCATTGAGCGTAGTTGATTTCACCTCGTCATAGTCAGCCCCGCTTGGTCGTTGGTGGGTAGTTGTTGTTGTTGTCCTCATGCTTGATGACTTGTATCTTAGTCAACGCTGACGAAAATAACACTTCGATTGTCAAATATTTTGTTCGCTAGTTTTACTAACAAGTTTAACACTGGTGAGAACTGAGAACACACGGATAGTGGTGTTTATGCAGTATCGTAAAAGTGTTTGTTGCATTTATTTTAAATACTCGTGGGTGTCAACTGTCCATAAAAGATGCAGTGTACACGAACTTAACTGCTGAGAATTTCATCAAGTGGATAGTGTGTGGAGAGGCTCTTGATTTGTGAGAGCAGCCGAGTGTGGTGTGTATATATTCATGTGTTTGTCATGTGGGGGTATAGTTTATTGTTTATGCAAACAAGTGATATTTACGTGGCTTTTTTAGTGTACGTGGCCAACTAGATACAGAGCACAATTTTGTGCTCGTATGGTTGAGAGGTGTAGTTGTTTATATATTTTACTAGTCCTCTAACATTAAAGCAAGTTCGATTTTTGGCAAACACACATTACCAGAGGCATTGGCATGAGCCTTGTCTTGTGTGATTCAGCTTGAACCGAGTACCAATTGTCTTTCGTGTGTCAGCATTACCACTGGCCATGACCTCACCATCCTTTTGTGTCTTTCTGTACTTTTAATCAGTTCTCCCTAGCAGTACAAGCCCTAATGAACTATCCAGAATATCTTCTCAAAACGGGGAGTGCTGGTGCAAGGGTATAGCATACTGCACATCAATCAACCATTTCTATATTCTTGGATCTTTCGGTCCAGGAAATGATAAAACATAAGATTATGTTTTATTTTTATTACTTTATTATTTCCCTTCTACGTGACTTTACCGAAAGATCCAAGAATATGAATCCCTGCAGTCACGAAAGCTTTAAATCGAAATTTAACCATTTCTATGTGAACCATCCGGATCTGAATTTGTCCTTAAATTTCCACGGGATGTCTCTGCCTACAATAAGTGTAATGCCTCATGAGCTGTATTTTAAAGATAACCGAGTCTGGCACGGTGCGAACCTGCACCACCCCTTGTATGATGGTACAGCACAATAGTGGGCACTTGACAACGTTGTATCCACATCACTCGAGCTGGGATAGGATGGGTATCTTTTGTCTTTGAGTTTCAATGCAGCAGTCAGTTTGTGAGCGTGCGGGCCTGTGAAGCAATCATAGTATAGTGGATAGCGAGCTGCACAACGAACCTAACGGCTTGAGTTCGATTTCCATTCATCAATCAATATCAGCGGTGAATATCTGAGAATATAGTTTTGTCCTACCCTAGGTTGACTCAGCCTTAAATGAATAGCTGGCACCATGTGGAAACATCAGCTCTGGGGAGACGCAGGCGGCCAGCTTTAGTGCTGGACACACCACACCTTGTGCGCCATACCAGCCTTCATATGTGCTTGCGATCATCATTTGCCCCAGCGGCCTGTTAAGGCTATTTGTGGATATTTTTTTTTCTTTGTCTTTGTGGAGCTCAGTTAGTGGATGATATATAACAAAAAAAAGTGGAGCGGAGTGTGAGCTGCTGAACTGGAGTTATGAGTGTTCCTCTCGTAGCCACTCAGCAGCAGGTTTCGAGGTCACACTTGACGACGCCAACGCCAAACCCGCAACGCGTTTATCTCTGATTGACCTCTATTGGTGCGGGGCCTTGACAAAGTAAGCTTCTTGTAAGACATTACATTGCAAAACTGTGTAGGCCGTCAACTTACGTCCCGAATGGTTGTACACAGTCGTACCATGTGAAGGTGGTGGAACATTGCTTCTGCACTGGGACTCCAATGAAAAAAGCCGTGAGCCACATGCCTCGGAAAGCGTGTAAGGTAAGCCGCATCGTATAAGGCAACAAGGCAGATGTAAGGAATGTCACTAGATAGTGTATGTGCTCCTGCATCAGCGGAGAATGCAGAGGGACATTATCAATGGCAACTGTTTTAAATGGAGCCATTGAAATAGTGACACATCACAATGAATGAAATGTAAATGTATTTATGGTCATATGAATTTGCATTGTGATGCAGTATCTTGTGTAAATTGTAACTTGCACACAAAGCAGTGTGCAACGCAAAAGTACATGAATGGATGTTACATTCAGCGAACAATTCATGAAAGTATTCTGCCGGACAAAATAAGGTACTCATATTCTATAACATCGTGGCAGTTTATCTCCTTGATTTTTTATTTAGGGTTCTCTTTTAAAAGAGATGCCTTATTTGAATGTGGATCCACCTACTCTAAACCTACTTCAATACCTGGCTTCTTACCAACCTTTCAACGTAGAGGGATTATTATTTGTACTGCATGTGTCGACATAATACAGGCATTTTGTGCTGTGTAAAAGTATTACAGTAATTATAATATTATAGTTTTTAGATTATGTGTGAAAGCTGTCGTTATTCAGTGGAAGAGCAATATTAGTCGGACATGTATTTATGCTGTTGGAAATAAAATGTATAACTTGCGTTCATATGAGGCTGTAAACAACTCTGCATATTTATATCAAATGTAATTTAAATATTTTTCTCTAAATTAGAGTTTGTAAAAAAAATGCTCCACCTTTATGAATGGCTTTGATAAGGTATGTGTCTTTATTAGGACCCTGGTTTATGATAGCTTTTGTGCCAGCATCAATTTCCGCTGAATCAAATGCCCTTTCATAGTCAGGAAAATCTAGGCATAATGGTATGTAATATTTGTGTATTTTTAGAATATGATTGAAGAATGGTAGATAATATATTTTAAAATCAGTGGCCTATACATTTACTATTATTTGATTCTAAGGGATGCGATTGTGATGAGAGGGTACAGGATCTAAAGGAATCATAGTAAACAGTACATTTATAATGATACTATATAAGAGAGAAAAAAGCCTGGCTGGCCAGATCGCTGACTGGCCGGTCACATACAAAGGACGTGTGCACTGCTCGTGATGATAAATAACACTGGTCAACACACTTTTTCTGGCATAAGGTATTCCAACGGTTTTAATGTAATTCTGGGGTGCTGATTCCAAATCAGTTTTTGTCTATCACATCAGGTTTTTGAGATATCAAATATTGCATTTTCAATAAAAACTGCAGAAGAAAAATATCAAATAAATGTGGATATCTACATAAAATTATATTATAAACACACTATCCTAAAAATACAGCACCATATTTTAACACTAAAGCAGTCACTGACTCGCAACAACTTGCAATCATAAGTGACAGAGTTAATTTCGGATAATATCAATGAAAATGGGGTATGCCGATAGCATAAAATGAGATGTGATAGAGCAAATTTGAGATTAGATTTGGAATCAGCACCCTGAAATTAGTCTAAAATAGCTGGAAAAGTCCAGGCCAGAAAAAAAAGGTTTTTTTTTGTTGAGCAGTGTAATATTTGATGATGTATGAACATTTTTAAACCTTCAAATCACTATTGTTTCCATTTTTCAAAGAATAATAGGGCATCCTGCCACAACTGAAATATTTAATTTCTGTAGAAACATTTCTTAAATAGATCCGCTGATTTTGATCCAAGAACTGGTCCAACTTCTTTGAAAAGTGATAACTGAATGTTGCATGAAAGAAAACAAACATACTGCATTTATACCATAGATCATATCTCCTGTTCTGTCACAGAGCTGATATCTATTCATCGGCCTTTTCGGTTGTCTGAGAATGTGTGGATTGGAATCGGAGGTGTAAAAATTGAACAAGAGGAAGATCTTTCTGTTCTTTTCCAATATAAACTAGTGGTTATATTTATTACATAAGCTGCATTTTGACATGGATATCAGGAGTTAGCGTAATCTGGATTGGGTGTATCATTCTAGTTGTCATCTAATAACATCGATACGAATTCATGGTTGATAAGTCTGATGAAGTCATTCATGTAAGAAGCTTCAGTCACATCTCCTCTGTATGTGCATAGGCTCAGCAACTCCACGTTGTTCATTATCACGATGATGACCTTTAAGGGTGATTGTGGTCATTTTTTATCGAATATTATTTCGGTGGTTAAAGTGATTTGTGTATTGTTTATGAAGAGAAAAGTAATTGGATGGCATTTCCACGGACGAACTCAGCCCCAATGCCGCTCAATTCTGGAGACCAACATTTTTTATTACCAGAAGTCACCACTGGTAGGCGCCGTTGCCACTCGGTAATTTGTTTTCTCCTCCCAATTTGAGGTATAATCCTGTAACAGCTCTCTCGCTGGTTTCAGCAGTTCCACTGCTGGATTATATTTTTTCCCGCTTGAGGACAACCGCTTTTGTTGCGATCGAAACGTCCTGATTTATTTTATTTTATACCTACGTATATTTACCGAAATAACCAAAGAGTATATTCCTGTACTTTAGAAATTGTTTCTACATTTGTCCAATAATTACCGTAATAGTTGAATTTACTAAAACATGGACAATCCATAACATATTTAACATATATTTAATTTGCACATTATAGTAATTTGCGCATTTTAGTACAGCATATACCTGTTGCAGTGCTTCAATTAGTCTTTTAGTTTCACGGTCCAAGTCGGCTTGAGACCATGGCATATATTGGGGCAGTAAGGGGTGGCAACATCGTGTCGAGGGCATTGTTCTTCATTGCAAGCTCCCTGACAATACACAACATGTGAAAACACCTCCCATCGTTGTGCTGTCAACTCCTAATGGTTTCAAATGGTGTGGCGGCCCTCACACTGATGATGTCTTAAAGTGACCCCCCTCTAAAATGTAGTGAAGAACACTTGGTCCAGGATCACTCAAACCGCACGGAGCAAAGTGATACAGATCTTTTCGGATGAAAATATGATTGTACTTCATCATGTGATTGTACTGTATCATGTGATTGTAATCTGATTGTACTTCGTCATGCTCAATAATACACCACGTGACAAACATAGCACCTGGATTCGTTACGTTGCAGTAGCTTTGGGGTTGGCGGTAAGGATGGAAATACAGTACAGTGATTTTTATTATACACATTGGGGGCCGTCCATAAATGACGTCACGCACCTAGGGGGGGGGGGTCAGACATTTGTGACGATGTGTGACGAGGGGGGGGGGGGTGGTAAATGTGACGTCACATCAAAATGCGCAACTTTAAATAAATATAAACAACACGTTCTACTTAATGAAATCGACTTTTTGATACATGTTTTCTCCTACAACATCAAAGTGTAGCGGCACATTAAATACGCACTACAATGACAATAGTTGAAAGTGATTTGAAGCATGTTTTCTTTTTGGGGGGGGGGTCAGAGCTTTGTGACGTCATATTTGAGGGGGGGGGGGTCTGACTTTTTGTGACGTCGTGTGATTAGGGTGGTTGGGGGTCAAAAATCGTCCAAAATCGCGTGAAGTCATTTGTGGACGGAACCTTGTTTAATTTGACCACAACAATGACATATTTGTGCTGCAGTATACCTTTGTGGTATTGCTTTACTGCATTGTTCATTGAATTCTTATCGTGTGGTTGCACGCATGCCTGCTGCTGCCGCCGCTTTTAGATTGTATTGTGTTTCGCTGGACATGCTCTACGTAACCTGCTCTTATCGTGTAGCGTTATAAACATATGGTATCTCAGCAAACACATCACACACCTCAGTAATTAACGCAATCAGGTGTCCCCATCTTGAGAGGCCACTTTTGTTTTCGTGTATGTTAGCAGGATGCAGTGGTTAGTAGGCTGCACGTTTAACCCGGTGGCCTGTCTGTATTTCCTGGTCACGGCTGACATCAATGGCACATGGCATCCAAACTGGTTCTGGTCACCCCCCCCATTTCAACAATCCATACTGGCCAGGTTGTTGCATCTACTGGTGAAGTATGGGCAAACAACTTCCATGCTTGACATCAAAATTGTATATTTACTCCACGTTAAATGTTTGTTTATTGTAATCCACGGACAATGATATTAATAACTTGTGCGATTTATTCATTACAAGCATTCTTCTCCCATCAACATTCTTCTATTTTCACTGCTGCTATCACAGTTATTGCTCTGATAAACCATACGCCTAGAGTCTCCAGATTACTACAATGCTTTTTACATATTTGGTCAACTTCACTCTGTCTCGCTTAAGAAGGACGGGGCATTTTTTTTCCTCTTACCTTTCCTCGTACGGCTCTCCTTTGGAGCTCCGTCTGTTTTTTTCAGGCTCGCATAACCGCACTTAATTTAACAAATTTGTTAACTCTCATCTACCATACGTACTCTTACATACCTTGTTGCTGCTAGCCGCTTTTTTAAGTGCCCATGGGAACAGTTTTGCAGGAATTCATATTATTGTAAAAGATGAGAAATTCCTATCATGGTGCCATCTCCTCTGAAGTGGACTCGAATGAACATCTGATATAATTTGTGCCAAGGTCATTTGCCAAACCTTAATATTGGTATATATCTTCTTGGTTCTTTCGGTAAAGTCACGTAGAAGGGAAGTAATAAAATACGTGACTTTACCGAAAGAACCAAGAAGATGAATCCCTGCAGTCACGAAAGCTTTAAATCGAAATTTGGTATATATCCACAACAATTTTAGTGAATGGAATTGTCTGATAGATGCCCAACTCGCCCAAGTAATATTGATCGAGTTGGGCTGCATTTTTTTAGGCACGTACTTGTCCTACTGAACACAACTTTTGTGTCTTATTCACCAGCCATAATTCACCATACTGGTCAGTGTGGGTGGTGAAGATGGGGGTAGTGCATAACAATGATTTATTTTTCTGCATCGCTGACGACTGCCCACACAATGCCTCTCATATCTGTTGTTAGCATGGTAGTCACCCATCCAAGCATTATCCAGCTTCAAGTAACTTGCAAGGTCCGAC